GAAGATATTGAGCCATAGCTCCATGGGTAGTGAGCGCGGGCCATTTTCCGTTTTATTGCTTCGATGCAGGAGGTGTCGCGATATCGTGGACGCCGCATCACCAGGCATCTGCTCCGAAATGCCGGTCGGGTATGTAGAATCTGTAAGCTGGCCAGGCTTAGTGGAGACCTGAGAGAACGATAGACCCAAAGTTCGTTCGAGAACTTCATGTAGTTCTTTTAAGCCTTCCCATGGTAACTGAACCAGCTCCTCCGGACTGACCGATTCCCACAGCACCGGTGACACCACACTGATCCATGGCCAGAACTCTGCCACCTCTCGGAGTTGCCTTTTACTCAGTGGATGGTGCCATTCTGAAACCGTCATGCCAGGGATCAGCACCACCGGCTTCGACGAGATCCAACCCCGCAGGAGCGCCAACGTCAACGTGTTGGTCAGCCCATATAGCATCGACCCCAACGCTCCAGCATCTATCGGCGCAACCAGCAGCATATCAGCCCACTCGCACAATTCCGCCGCCTTGGCCTTGAGCCATTTCCGAGCCCCAGTCTTCTTTTCGAATGTTTGACTATCCACCGTGTCCATATAATGAGGAACCTTGCTTGCGCCCGACAGAAGGGCGGAGGGTTCGTCCGTGATCAACCGTATTTCGATATCGGGATTCTGAACCAGCGATGGAAGTATGTTGTCGACAAAAGCACTCTCGGTGGAGAGGAGTAAGCGTTTCCGACGAGGAGGAGAAGAGCCCGGGGCTTCTTGTATTTGATTATCTATTTGCATGGGGGTCGTAGTGGTATTTTCCGTCAACTTTCCTCCCATTTCTGTAGTGACCTCCATTTCCGACGACCAGACACCCTTTGAAACCACCGTTGCGACACCAGTCGAGGTCGAGGGGAAACTTGCGCCAAAACCGACAGCCATCACAGTGAGGAAAGAACGGGAAAAAGAAATACTATGTCGTAGGAAACGATCTAAGACGCAGATCCCGCGGTAATATAGTCCAGTCACGTCACGATTCGATTCGTTGGAGAGGAAAGGAAGAGCGCCCAGAACCTGTCGCCTGCAGGGATTGTGCAGCCAGCAAACCCCGGATTAGTCTTTTGGTGTACCGTTAAAAGGAAGAAATCGCAGCCAGTGCGCAAGAACGGCGAAGGGAATTCCCTGCAACAGAAAAAGTAAATCCAACCCGGTGACGATTGTATGAATATAAGTCGGCCAGCCGGGGCTAGCGGTCGATCAATTGCAACCCAATGTAAAGCTCTCTGTGTCGCTTTCACCCTCCAGGCCAGACCAGTAATTAGGAAGCCCAAGCCATGCACAGCAAGACGAGGGCAGGAACCGGACCGCACTGCGGATCTGGAAGCAGTACGTGTTGAGTGACGGGTGGGCTGATCGGACAGGCTAGGGAGGAAGCGGTGTGCCGGGTTGAAGCAGCAGCGGGACTTGCAGGGCGAATTAATTAGTTGTTAATGAAATCCAGTTAGCAACGGAGCTTGGGTGTCAAATGTCCAAGATGACTGCCGTCGCCACGTCTGCAGCGCAACTTTCAACGCCACCCAGGGTATCGTCCAAGTATCGATTTAAGGGGACTTGGGGATGATCGGAATGGAGGAGATTGAGGAAAGACGGGGAAAAATTGGAGGAGAGGGAAAAAAGAAGCGAAGAGGAAGGAGGAGGAGAGTCGTGCCACTGCTACCTCAGTGGAGAGGAATATGTTTCGTCTTTCAACTAATGGAAGATCCAGAGGCTGCGCTGGAGAGGAACTCCTGGTTCGTCAGCGGAAGAGACCGGCGCTTATTGGCGGGTGGGCGGTGGACCCTGCAGCCTTGACCGGATGATGATGTCGCTATTACTGTTCTGTTCGGTAGGAATGGTCGGTACAAGTAGTAGTATGTTCTCTATTTCTTTACGCTGTCTCCAATTTTACATATCGCCCACAATCAATCGCCGTTCTTTTCTTCTATTCTTCTCTCCGCGCCAAGTTCGAATGCAGCTTGTGCTCGCGCATTCCCATACTGACTATCGCCCCCAGTACGCTGAGTCCCAGCAACGTCAGAAACACGGCGCGCAATGAGTCCATGTATGAATCCATCACCCCCGGGATCCAGTCTGCAGGGAGCTTCCTGATTTCCTCGAGGCTATCGCGGATCCGCCCAATCAGCTCGCCAGCATGCTCGCGATCTCCAAACCGAGACCATAGTCCGGTTTTGAGGATGTTCTGGAACACGGCAGAGGCAACGGTGATGCCAATGGTGCTTCCCGTGCTGCGAAATGCGTATGATGCGGATGTGATGACTGCATGGTGCTCATGGTCTACAGCAGAGATAAGTGCCACCAACGTAATGGTCAGCATACTCCCATAAGCAGTACCCATCAGGAAGAAGTAGATGAAGGGTAGCCACGACGGGGTCGTGAGTGTCAGCGTGCAGATCAGCACATTGGAGAGGACCATCAAAGTCATGGACACATAGCTGAAGATCTTGTATCGTCCAGTGGACCGCATCAGGATCCCCGATCCCAGTGAACCGAGAGAGGTGCCAATGGCTTGGGGGATCAGTCTCACACCCGCACTGGTGGCGGACAAGCCTTGGACCTGAAAGAACAATGGCAGGTAGAACAAAAGCCCAAAGACCGCCATCGTGCTGAACCAGTTGGTCAGGCAGGCTGAGAACACCGTGCGATCCAGAAGCAACCGGACAGGAATGACCGGTTCGGACGCGATGTTGGCCTCGACGTAGATGAAGAGGCCAAAGAAGACCGCGGAAAGCGGCAACGAGACAAGAATGAGAGGGTGAGTCCACGGCACCTGGTTGCCTCCAGTGTTCAACCCCAGCAGGAGCAGAACGAGACTGGCAACCAGAGTGAGAGCTCCAAAAAAATCAACCCGTTTCAATTTGGCGTTGTCAGTGGCCTTTACCGGTACGCGTACCGTGGCCGCTACGAGGATGCCGGACACCACGACAAAAGGTACCTGGATCAAGAAGGCCCATCGCCATCCCAGAGTGTCATTGATCCAACCTCCAAACACACCACCCAGTCCACTTCCGGCTCCATAGCAGATGTTACCAATGCCCTGCCAGACCCCACGTTTCCGTAAAGGCACCAAGTCGGAGGTGACAAAGGTCGAAATCGCAGTCAGCCCACCGCCACCGATACCGGCGATGACGCGCCCTAGTACAATAGTCCCCTCAGTTTTCGCGAGACCACAGATCAAGTTCCCGGCTGCGAAGAAGATATTCGAAAAGACCAGCCCAGTGCGCCGAGAGAAGATATCAGTAAGACGTCCACTCAGCGGCTGAAAGGCAGCATTAGAAATCAGGTAGGAGGTTGCGAGCCAGGACAGTAAAGTGAAGGACTGGAAGGAAGATGAGATGGGAGCAGTGAGAGTAGCGACAATTGTAGTGTCTAACACGGTCAGCTCCAGCGGATGAGGCACCTGTAGTAGGACAGGCCATACCCAAGGCAGCCAGGAAGACTCCTACCCAGATACTTCCCAGGACGAGGATGAGCTCTTTCGAGCTGGGTTCATCGGCCAAGGGGACCTCGGAGTCTCCCGAAGGCACTGCTTGTTCATTCGGCGAGTGATCCCCAAGGAGGGGCGTCTGTTCGGACACCGGCTCTCCTTGAGGTCCATTCGAAGCCGCTGTTCTGGATTGATCAACACGCATACCTGTACCACCAATATTCTGGTCGGATATACAGCGGTGGACCGGTGGGTTGGGTTTAGGTTGGTGTGCAACGCAACTTGGCGGAGCGGCGCGGCGGTAATTCGGACGGCGCTCCGATAAAGAGCGGGCGATAACGCGACCGATCATTTGCCGCTTCCAAGCTTATCCAAATCCACCATGACGGCTCGTCTCCCCTTCGTAACTTTCGGCAGACTGAAGCTCTCGACGAATCCCAGGGCACTGTGAATGGGGCGGTCGGACACTTGCCCTTCCACGGTTATAGCTGAACCTTGATGTGAGCTATCTTCGACTTTCGCGGGTTTCTAACCATGGCTCTTCAGACCCGGTCGTATTTACGATGGATCAGACTTGAACAGACGCTTGGTCTAGTTCCATTCCTCCCCCCTGATCCGATGAACAGGTCTGAATCTCACAATCACTTAAGGCAAACAGGCAAGTCCTATTTTTGCACTCGACCTATCATTCTAATTCTGGCCTTGTCAGTCATGTCACCCATACGGAGCACTCATTCGTCACTGGACACCAACTGCAAGCATGAACGAAGCACCAATGGACGTGACCTGGAATATTAGATACAGCTGAAAGTCAGGACCATAGCCTTAACGAGTGCTGCACACACCATGTCGGCCGACTGTTGAACAAAAGCCTGAGGGTATGGACTGGCAAACACGGCGCCGCCAAGATTGTCACTGGCTAACGGGCGCATCGTGCATGCAGAGATGAAACAAACTAACAATATACAAAGATTTGACGGAGTCAACCGGACCTTCTAAGATAGAGTGCTCCAGCAATTTCCAACCCTCAGAAGTAAAAAATCACCACGTTGATGTGAGTCCATTGACCTGAAGTAGGGCAATTTCCGTGCCCTATATACAAGGTCTCCACTCACGGCAACCCAATTCATCTAATAGTCCCAAATAAGCGCAGAATAAGGATTGTTCGCGAAAGTAAAAGTGGGGCCCGTGATGGACTACTAGATCCTCGTACATTTTCTCTGTCGGGGTTTTATTGACAGCGCTTGGTCAATCTCACGATAAGGGTTGCCCCTGAAAAGAAGGGCCATGAGGGGGGGGGGAAAAGAAGAAAAAGGTCGCTTCCAGGAGGAAGGGAAGCAGAAGATACTACAGTCACAGTCTACTCCTGACTCGCACTCTTCATGCACCACCCCCTGGCGCTTGGACAGAAAGTACGATGGTCTCCATAATTCGAGTCGCTAAGTTGCTATTCTTGAGCAGCAGCAGCAGCCACCACTGCAAGAACAGGATAGTCGAGCCGGGATCAACTGCTCCGTTGGCAATAGATGCGCGAACCGAGGGTTACTAACGCGGCGGGGTGCCGATGCACTTGCCCATCCCTCGTATATTAACTCCCTAGATAGAGTGGTTGTTTGAATAGACCCAGGGGTTAGCAAGCTAGAGAACTAGCTAAGTTGTCATGACTAATAGGTAAACCTTTAGATGACGGCGCCAGTGGATCAGCAGCAGTGGTCGGCGGGGACATGAAAGAGGGGGGGTGGGAGATGAGGCAGGATGTTACTCGGTAGCTAGTAGGAAAAAGGGTCCCTGAAGCGAAAAGAATAGGAGGCATCGAAGAGCAGAACAGATTAAGGGCGCTGGCGATCAACATCAGGACCGTGCCCCCCGTCACGTGGAGGACACATAACTACGGCCATACGAAGCCTTCTACTTTTTTTTTTTTTTTCATTTCTTTCTTGTCCTTGTCTTCTGTGTTTTGAACTTTTCTTTGTTCTCTATACTACACTTTCCTGCTACATCTCACCGTTGTGGTTGTTGATCCTTTCATCATCCCTCATCTACTCGTGTATACCGAACGGATTTCCCCTCCTTATCTACTACCACTACCCCTCCAACAGCCAACATGCCTGGTGAGTAAAACCCCGCAGATCGCCTTGCGTACGCGCGTATGGACTTCTCACTGACCTCGCATCCCAGCCTTCCTCAAGAATATCAAGAACAAGCTCAAGGCTATCTTCAAGAAGAAGAAGACTGCCGAGGAGAACCCCGAAGGCGCTGCTGCTCCTGCTGAGAACACTCCTGGTACGTTTTTTCTCTTGCAACTGCCACAGAATTCGCCACGACCACTTACTGACCATGTCATAATGCAGCCGCCGACAAGCCCGCTGAGCAGGCTCAGACCGAAGGTGGTGTTTCCGCCGCTCCCCCGACCCTCGAGGTGACGGAGTCCCCGGCTGGCGAGGCAAAGCCTGAGACGGAAGCTCATGCGGAAGCCGCTGCCGGTGCATCTGATGCCGCTGCTAAGCCCGCCGAGACTGCTGGAGACGCAGCTGGTAAGTCGAGGACACATCCCCCCCTCGTCAAATGTAACGAAGAATGACTGACTGACTGACCATGCGCAGACAAAGAAACCAAATAATCGCCCTTAAGCTTCCAGCGGATGCAGCTCTCACTGCATGCATCATCCACTCCTTCGCCCGTGGCATCATTTTCCTACCCTTTGCATCATCTTCTCATACCCCAGCATAGACTGCGCTGATTTCATTTTGTTGTTGTTCTTCTCTTGTTGATATCCACCTTTTTTTTTTTTTTTTTCAAATACCCTGTACTGCTTTCAATAGCCATGCGTATTCGCATAGTCTAATAATTCAGTCTGTCCGCGTCAAGCAAGTATCTTAGTTCACTCGCAGCGTATTTCGTAAAACTAGAAAAATCTGATTAATCAAATCAATGATTCGATATCAACCTGGGTATCATAAGCCGAAACTAAGCTAGAAGAACATACATACACTCAATAAGATAACCAACTCCCTCAATCACTACCCTCATCCGAAGACACATCCACATCCATCTGACCAGCCGGAGCCTCACCACCACCACCAGCAGCAGCCTTAGCAGCCTTCTCCTCTCTCGCCTTCTGCCTGCGCTTAATCTTCTTCTCACGATTCTTCCGATTCCGCTTCTCCGCCTCCAACAACTTCTTCTCCTCCTCTTTCTTCTTCCTCTCCTCCGCAGCCGAAACCCGCTTCCGCAACTGAATCCGGCGCTTCTTGCCAGGCTTCTTCAACGACGTCGGCGCCCGTTCCGCGGGATCCCTCGCGCACGTCACCGCCGCACCTTTACTCTTCTTCTCACTCTTCAACGTAACAACCCTCCAGGGCAAATGGCACCCAGGCTAGATAAAGTAAACCAAGTCAGCAAAACTCTCCCATCACAAACAATCCAAGAACATATAGAAAATAGAAATTAAAAAAAACCTACCCACGAAACCCCCGAAAACCCCACAACCTGCACCCCCGAAACAGCCACATCCTCAAACTGTCTCCTCTTCTCCCTCAACCTCTCTTCCTCCTCCTGCACCTTCTCCTTCTCCCCGGCCATCATCCCCGGCGCAGAGAAATAATACCCCCATCCTCGAAACGGATTCACAAAGCGTCCATCTTCCACGCCTACAGCGCCGGGTGTCGGCGAACGTACCCGAATACGTAGTTTCTGGGCTTGAGTTGTGCTAGATGGGTCGACGGCTGCTGATGCTTGGTCTTCGTTTTTGGATGAGGATTTGGCGGGGGCGCTGAATAGTCGGAATTCGAATTCTTGTTCTTCTTCTTCGTCTTCGGCTGGGTTGGAGGTGGTGGGTTGTGGTGGTGGGTTGTCGTTGGATGGGGGCGCGAGAAGGGAGTCGATGTTTAGGAGGGCGCCGAGACGTTGGTGCACGTCTGTCAGGGAGGATTCCGGGGGTGGGGAGGGTGAGGGTGAGGTGGATGTTCGGGATAGGAGTTCTTCGCGACGGATGCTGTTGTTGGGGGTTGGTTAGTGGGATTGAAGTTGGGATTGGGATTGGGGTTGGTAGGTGGGTGGGTGGTGTAGTGGCGTACCGCTTTGCGCTGGGGAGGTCGAACATGTTTTTCTGCAGTGCTTTTGTATATGGGATTGGGTCTGGTAGAGGAGAGTGGTGGTGACAGTTGAGGGTTGATGGTGTGGAGTGAAAAATGTCGGTGGATGTTGGTGAGAGGTTATTTCCACGGGCGAGTGTGGTGCGGCCACGCGTTCGGAGGATTGATTGGTATCTCTTTGCCCTATGGAGTATGGAGTAGTCATCGATATTGGACTTTATACTTTATTGCTTTTGTATTCAAAATTTGATATTTGTGATATGCAAAAGAGAGATTTGATTTTACTATATCAGTAAGAATATAATTGTTGCTTTGTAGGACCTGCTTGCGAAGCATGCAATTGGGTTTTCTGTTCTATTGTGAAACAGTTCCGGATGAAAGGCGCAAAGAATGCATGCGACCAGTAAACGGTTGTATATCATTATCTCCAGCTGCTAAAGAATGACTATTGATCTAGGATACCTAGTATAAGCTGTCGACTCTGAATGTCAAAGATCATACGACGGCATGATTGTTCCACCAGGCATGTGACTGTATAACCCTCTAGTGACCATAGCACTTCCTGGCGTGACATTCGACGGAGCATAAATCCAACATTTGAGACCATTGTAATTATTTAGAAGTTCAAGTTGGCTGATAGAGAACAGTGTCTAGCGACTTCAATGGCCGACAATCAAGGCACTCATACTACATCTACCCGATTCCGATGACATCGGTTCGCACGGGCCACTCCCAACCCACCGAATTATCCAAACCGTCACTCCCTTCAAGTCACCCAAGATCTCAATCACCTAACCAACCAACTACGCATTCCACCCTCGCAAATCGTCTTCGCTTGAGCACCACCGCCCGGCGCGTTTCTACTATCCAATTCAACATCCAGACGCTCATTCCAGTCATTCATTCGCCTTGCTCTTTTTTTCACCATACCCCAACACCTCCGTTTATAATCAAGCCGTTCCAACCACCACTACCACCACTACCGTCATTGAACATCTCTCCTGCGCCTCCACCTCTAATCCGCCGATCTGATCAGCACAAATGGGTATCTGCGCCTCATGTCTAGGACGTAATCGTCGGGAACCCCACGATGTAAGTCCAATACTATATTCTTCTGCCGTAAAAAGAGACAAGCGCAACACTCCTCCCTCCCTTTTGCGCCCGACTCCACCAACCCTCTTCGCATCCATCATCTACAACCTCATAACTAACCTATCTCCCTCCCTACAGCCCAACCATCCCGAATCCTCTCGTCTCCTCGATGAAGATATCTACCAACCCGGCTACGGCTACGGCGCCCTCAACCAAAGCGCCCAAGGCAACCACCCAGACCCTAGCTATCTGAAGCGCGAACGAGAAGCCCTCGAAGCAATCTGTCAACGAACATCAGAGTGAGCCACTCTTCACCAGTATGGCAGATATCGAATTCAAGACTGATAATGTGCAACAGCTCCGTCATCGACATCTGGTCCCTCCAACCCCAACCGCACCTCCAACCTCGCGCCACCCTCCCCAGCACCGTCCCCCCTCCTTCATCCTCCGATGGCGATGCGCCACCCGTCAAAGTAATAACAACTGACTCGCCACCGGCTCGCTCAAAGAAACCCTCCTCTCCGGCTGCAAAGGCAGGCGGCACGGTCCCGAAACACTGGGGGGAAGTGGTGATAAATACGCGCAAGAATCGGTCGCGGCCGGGGTCGAGTACCGATGAAGACGGTGCTGCTAAGAGGGATGTATTCGGAGTGTTGAAGGTTACATGATCACTGTAACTATCTAAAATAAGATGGGGGGAAAAGTGACAGATGACAGCAGGTCAAATGTGATAGGTGCCGTGAGGTGTTGTGTTATCGGGGGGCTGACTACTAGGATGGATGGATAGATGGACGAACGTGACGGAACGGACGTGACAGCACTTATCGCACTTGGCTTGACTTGACGTGTTTGATTGATTGTTTTTGTTATCCCCTTCTTCCTTTTTTTTCTATTCCTGTTTTTTACTCGTTTCCTCTTGCCTGCTTTTTTTTTTACACATCTCCCCCTTAATACCCCTTTTTCTTTTCTTCGCGCATCGCGATGGGTCGCCGGCGACGACGGGGTCAACTATGTTGTTGTTTTTTTCACCTCCCTTTTGCCATCGGCGCTTTTCATTACATTTCTCTTCTCAGCTTTTTCTTCTTCTTCTATTTCTATACCCTTGTTCTGTGCCTAGGCTGCTGCTGAGGCTTTACCTACTAAACTTTTCTTCAGATCTTTCATTGTGCATTCATCTCCTTTGTTCGTTCATGTGTTGTCTAGTTTGATTGGGTTAGATCGCAGATCGCGCTCAACTTCAGTACAGTAGTACTGCTAGTACTAAACAGCTGAAAAATAAACGCTTGCTGTATGATATGATAACATACAATACGATTTGAACCAGACGCTATGCTATTCTATGCGATAATACTACCATAGTAGGGTGAGAATATAACAATAATGCTCCATTAGCGATATACAGTCTTTATGTTGGAACATCTGCGAGAGGTGGAAAGTAGAACAGACACTGCGGAAGTCACGCTGCTGTCGAGGAGATACTGATCAGCCGGTCGACTTCCTACACTTGCACACCCCCCACGTTACATGATCCGATCGCCCATTAGCTACCTTCTCTTGCGACCGTCGTAGACGATTGCTGCACCTTGAAACGACAGAACTCCGCCAGAAACGCCTTCCCGCCTGACACCCGAGAGATAAAGCAGCAATATTAAATAACACCGAAAACAGATAATAGACAACGATGCCTATGCAATATACTGGTGTGAAATGTCCAAACCAAGACGCAAATGGTCTAAGACTGACTGAACTGCGGTAGGACTAGACGTCGTCCATCGTACCGGCTGGCTCTTCGCCGCCGGACTCGTAACTGCCTGCCGAGCTCAGTTCGTCTTCTGACTCTGTGTCTTCTCCGGCTTCGTCGACGGCCTCTTTGCTGGCGTACTTGGCTACGTACTCTAATTACAGGTCAGCTTGGTTGAGAGCATGTTGCAAGTGGTGTGATGACGTACCCTTGACCTTTGCCTCGTAGCTTTTCGGTTCCCGCATGAGCATGGCAGCTGCTTCACCGTTCAAAGGGTCCGAAGGGTTGGGGTAGCGCAGGAGCTGAGGAAGGAAGACTTCGAAGATGTTGATCATATCGTACATGGGTGACCATGTTTGGTTTATGACATCCAAACAAACGGAACCCGACCTAGGCAGCTGGTGTTAGCCGGAGGAGATAAGAGTTGTCGAAACGGTCTTACAGCTCATCGATGTTCGGGTGGAAAATCCGGTTCACAAACCCGATACTCGGGCTCTTGTATGGGTATTGATCGGGTAGTTCGACGTGGATCTTCCAGTGGCCACCGGCGAAGGGTGCTGGCTATGTTAGCGGGTCCGGTTTGCAATAGTCAGAACTTGTATGGATCTTACTCTCTTCCGGTCCTTTGAAACGCACGTAGAACTCTTGCCTAACAAGAAGAGCAGTCAATATCACTCGTGTATCCGACGATGGTGGGGTAAGCCGGGTCTGCATACACTACAATTCAGTCAGTATCCAAAAGTCGGTGGCAAAAGGCTGTGGGCACTCACTGTTATCATTGACCAGAGTCACCTCATAATCACTCATCAACCTATGCAAACCATCAGCACAAGTTCCCCTGAAATCTGTTGATTTGTCCCATATCCGAAATCGTGATCTCATTCCAACCCCAGTCGGAGGGAATATGGTAGGTGCCGGATACGGGGAAGGGTGCGTACATCCTGCCAGAACGTCAGTCAGCCATCGATAAGGTATGAGCGTAACAGCGATGCGAGTGCATACTTCATGACCTATAAGTGGAAGAATCTCAAGCGTTAGTCTCCTTCCGCCACCACTTTCGCCGCAAGGGCATGAGGGGTACCGAGGGGTACTCACATCTGTCTCAATTCTCCGCTTAGGGCTACTCATTTTGAATGACTTGCAGATAAAGCAGGTATGAAGGTATAAGTAGTCCTCGAGTCCGTCGACACCGAGATATCTGGATTCAAAGGCGAATTGCGCAGGTGGGTGGAATCGAAACTATCCGCAAGGTCGAAGCGGGGAAGCAATGAGCGGGGCGACTCTAGGTAGAGATAGGGCAGATCAAAGGAAGCAGCAAAAGTGCGGACGAGAGGGATCGCAGTAAGGAGGGTATAATAAGACCGAGGAAAGAGAGAAGAAGTGAGCAAGGCTGGGACGAGAGGCGGAGTCGCTTGATCAGAAGGAAGTGGGCGAGTTGTTGAGGCGGGAGAATTGGGAGAGAAAGGGAAGAGAGGGAACTTAAGAATGGGTTGCGGTGGTGGTAGTACGTAGTATGACTGATAGCGGGGACGGGGGGGGATGAGGTGACGGGCGCTGGTAATGACCGGTAACAAGTGGTCACTGGCAGCGCTTCCACCCGGTCATTCGGCGCGTTTCAATTGATGTTCCAGTCAGCTGGCCCCGGAGTCACGTTCGTAGTGTATTTATGGTTTCTGTACGTGAAAGATTTTGTTGTCATGTTACTAAAGATCCCGAAATTTATCTCTCTGCTCGTATGAACAGTCAAGGCACTCTCCGACTACCAATAGTTCTCTTTTCTACGCATTGACAGGGCTACCTACCCGATGCCCAGAATTCAATCTAACCGGCCGGGAATGGATGATCGTCGCTAATGGGTCCCCTAGCGGAACGCCGGGGAACAATCCTCATCTCAATAGTGAACCTACTACGTAGTTATCTGATTCAGGAACAGTGTTGCTTCGTTTGTCCCGATTCACACCCATTTCTGCATCCACTGTATTTGTATGAACGTCGGAAAGCCTTGTTCGGTGCAGATTGACCAAGAGTCAAGACAACGCGAGTGTTCCAAATAGTGACATGGGCCCGATGATATGCATGCATCATCGCTACCTCATGGCACTAAAGTCGAAATTCGCAGTGGGTCTTTCTCGGTTGGCTCTTGACAGATGTAACTCTGCCCGAAAAAGTCTTAAATCCGCTTTTCGGGGTAGTGATATTGTGCTATTGTAATGCTAAACAGATAGTAAAGATAGTAAAGGTGTTGCTTGGTGGAATGGGGGCATATGTTCTTAAGCGATAAAGTATCTGGATTGGCTGACAAGTCCACCCCTGCTTAGAATGTACCGGTCGTATCTGGATCTTGGCAGCCCTGAAGATCGCTTTGTTCTTCATATTCGAACTGACCATGGTAGAGAAAGCGCAGATGGAAGGATGATGGGGCCTGCCACTTTGATTGGACCACCCCCCTGCCTCAGGTGTCCATCGGCGCCTAGCCAAGGGAATGGAACATCAACAACTCGCATCAACCTTACCATCAACACCAACATCTTCTGCACTTTCTTTCTTCACATTCCTTATCATCTCTCGCTGTTTCTACTCATACTATACTGTCTGCTTCTTTAGTTACTCATCTAACCTCGAGCATAACTTGCGCTACCCAGCGTTAACCCCTATCGCCAAACATGGATTCCCCATCACCCCAGGGCCCCTCGGCCCAAAACTCACCCAAACCCGACCAAGCCAAACTCGCTCACAGACCAGCCAATCGTAAACAATCTTCTGATTCTTCCTCGAATACCCAAAATGCACCTATACCAGATGACAAACACGGTGCCGATTTGCCAATGACCATGTCCGCCTCGGTGGTGCTAACCAGCTTACCCCGCGATGCCCATCAAGCATTGGCGGACGCTGAGGCTGTCGATACGGGAAAAGGCAAGTAAAACTACTACCAGCACTACTACAACTTTACTGCCCCAATATGTTTCAAATGCTCCCTCGATTACAATAATGAGCTTGGTTCGGGCTCCAGACTGGCCCCTCACTGCTAGCGCCCATATCTATTAACGTCATGCGGCTTATCAGGATAAGCCATATGTTGACAGAAGACTAACGGTGCACCAGTTACCGTTCGCTTTCAGCCACTGCCTTCAGCTCCCATCCTGAAGAACCGTGTGTTCAAAATCAGTGCCTCACAAAAATTCGAAACAGTCGTAAAGTTTCTCAGGAAGAAGCTGGACTGTAAAGAATCCGACTCGGTATTCTGTTATGTCAACAGTGTGTTTGCTCCTGGCTTAGACGAAGGTGTGGGTGGTTTATGGAGGGTAAGCCGTCTTGATACGTGGATCTAAGCCACTCGTTTACTTACAACATTCAGTGTTTCAAGACTGACGAGCAACTTATCGTTGCTTACTCTATGACGCCCGCTTTCGGCTAATGATGAGCAGAGGTTGATGTGTATTAGTGCAACAGCTGTCTGGACTATTTACAGGTAATCTTGCTGAACCAGATACATCTCAACAAGCTAACATGGAAGGTGAGGAGGAAGGCAACTATGCGCAAAGATCGTCAAAGGTCATTTGACACTGTATGAGAATTATGGACATGAACATGAAATACCAAGGTATCACAGAAACGACTTGCTGGACATGATATGCATTATATGCTGCTTCAAAGAAATTGAATCAAACAACGCTTGCAGCATGAGACACTAGGACTCAGAGTGGGTTCCTGAGCAATTATTCTTTGTGAAAATGCTCGATGGCCTTTTCAAACTCGGCCAATTCCTCCTTCGCAATGGGGTAGGTGTATTCTTCGGAAGGATACGCCCGGCTCTTGACTTCATCACGGTATTGTTGGATACCCTTAATAGCCTCTCCCCAGACGTCGCCATACTTCTTGACAAATTTGGGAAGGAACCGGCCCGGGGGATAGTTTCCGGTCATATCAATCTGGACCAGGACTTGTCCGGAACATCCGTTTCCAGCACCGATGCCAATCGTGGGGACACGCAACTTCTTCGTGATGAGGGCGGCAATCTCAGCGGGCACCGCTTCCAGAACCATCATGAATGCGCCAGCCTCTTGGACAGCTAGAGCATCCTTCAGAAGCCTCACTGCGCTGGCGGTCGTTTTGCCCTGAACCCGGAATCCTCCAAGAGCATGTTGACGTTGAGGCGTAAGCCCGATGTGACCGCACACAGGGATACCAGCTTGCGTGATACGTTTGATGGACGGAGCCATCTCAGCACCACCCTCGAGCTTTATAGCCTGGACGCGACCCTCCTTCACGATGCGGATGGCAGACTGAACAGCCTGCTCCGGGGAAACTTCATAAGATCCCATGGGGAGATCGGCGACCTGCACCGAAAATGCACGTTAGTATAAACCTTCTCTCAAGCAGAATGGTATGGATACGAACCGTGAATGCACTCTTGACAGCACGTGCGACACTCCGACAGTGCAACAACATCTCGTCCATGAGGATCTCACTTGTATCCTCCATGCCGAGGGCGACCATGGCCAAGCTGTCACCGACCAGGACCACGTCCATCCCCGCCATCTCCGCAACATGACCACTGGGGAAGTCATGCGCCGTAAGCATCGTAATTGGCTCACCCTTCTTGTAGAGGTTCCGTAACGTCTGCATGGTCACCTTCTTCCGGGGATTGGCCGAGGCGGCCCCCAGCGGAGAATGAGAGCTATACCGTCTCTGAAGCTCCGTTGGAGCAGGAGTGGCGATGGCATGTCGGCCGGCGAGAACCGAGAAGACGGGAGCGGATGCAGCCCGACAGCGAACGGACGACCTCGCCAAAGGCACTAGCAATTGCGCCGAGAATCTCGAAGCCATGATGATAGCAAAAAGCGAAGTATAGATATGAAACGAAGCAGAATTCGTCTTGAAAAAAGAAGAAAGAAGAGCGACAACACTAGTCGCCCCTGAAGAGGCAAATCTAGGTAAAGCTGGAGGCAAACCGCAAGAAGCCGAAAGCAGCAAACACGCAGGTACGCACAAGCACCGATGGGCGTGGAAAGACCGAGTCGGAAAACGGAGCGACGGGCCAAAGAAAAAAGGGCTAATGTCGTCACTACCCGTGGGCAGCAAACTAAAAAAAATAAAAGAGAAGGGGAAAAGAAGTTCCTTCAGGTTCTGGATCGTTATCAAAAAAGAAACTTATTCAATACCCCACATAAACCCTGGCACAGGCACAATGGTTGACACCAAAAGAATAAACACAAGGATTCACAAGAGGAGTTCAGTACAATAACATCACAATAAAAGTTTCCTTCCTACCTACCCGCCACCCCCACGACCCGTCTTCCTTATATAACCCATGCTGGTATAGATGATGCCGCGTAGTCCGGATCATCCACCCAGAAAACCATCAAAGTTTCCAAAAAACCTTAGCTTAGTTAATAATTTAGTGCCAATCCCCTAACATTTCGTCGGCATTATTTCACGCTTTACCCGATACGGATGAATTATGCCCGTCTTAGGGCGGATACTTACATGCAGGTGATTCCACTGCTAGGTTTCTTCCATTCTTTTCTGTTTTCCCGGACCGAGGACATGGGCAGTGGGCCGAGGTTGGTGTGATTTAGTAGTGATACAAGTTACTGTGTAGATTCAAGAACTGGGAGATTTTAGGTGGGCTTTTCCTTGCTGCAAGTGTAAAATTAAATTGGATGATGTGTGGGTGTGTATGTAGTAGTAAGAGGTTCCATTTCTATGCTTACAGCCTATGCTATAGCTACAGTAGTAGCTATAGCTAAAGGCTAGTAGTAGTATAGTGACACACGATGTCCAGCCAACAAACTGAACTCATAGTGAGACACGACATCAGAAAGAAACAAAAGGGTAGAGAAGAAAAGAAAATAACCACCAAGCTCGTAAGCAGCCAGCAAACAAAAAAAATTCTCAACATCAACACCAGTCCAGACATGTACCGCCATGTCTTTTGTATGCAACCAACCACCCCTCGGTTTATTCGAGTACATCCATTCTTCCATCCATGAAGGTATGGTAGGAACAAGAAGTAAAATGCAAGAAAAAAGAAATACTATATAGGAAAAAGAGAGAAAAAGAAAGTAAGGGAGAGAAGAAAAATGTATGCAATCCTCGACACCATTGAAGTATAAGCTTGTCTTCCCAATAAGCGCGGTGTGTGTGCATGGATGCATGGATGCATGAATGTATGTATGTCCTGGTTGTTGATGAGTCCCATGTGTCACCTGCCTTCGTTCATTGGTTCGTTTTGTTCTTTGTTTTTGTTTTTGCCTTCCCGTTTCTCATTTCCAATCTGATTCTGTTTCTTTCTTTTTGTTTTTTCTGTACTGATGTGGGGTTTCCAAAATCTTCTCAAAAATTCGTTGCTGGCGAGGCCGTTAGATGCTTTTCATTCATCAGTCAACAGTATGCAGGGATATGGCATGCAGAATCCAAGGACGCCGGTTGTGCACCAATTACAGGGGGGACCGGATTGTAAATGGAAGTGGTGATAGGAAATAAGGAAAGGGGAAATGAAGCAATAGAAATGCAGTATTAATCGAATCGTCTGTCGAAGTGGTACGTAGGCTTGGACAATGATTGGATGACGGGTGTATATGCCAGTGTTATGAAAAGACGAGCTGAATATCTTCACATATTAACACGGCTGAGCGGCTAGCAGATCATCTCCGCGGGCAACGCTGCAGCCAGTTCAGTCCAGGGAAATAGACGAGCCGCAACAAATTTCATATCCTTTCCATTCATTCTCGAACGCACGGCCTGCTTATAACCCTGGGACTCCTTCCGCACCAGATTTCACAGGCCTCTCCAGCTGATAAAGTAAGGCATCGAGCTCGGCCCAGTTCGCTCGGTTGGTCGCAAAGCGGCGGTGTTTTCGGGTCACAATGTGCTGCCAAAGGTTAGCATTGTCGTTTCTGAATCTAGAGCTTCCAGACGCTAACCTCTTCAAAGTCGTCGAACTTGTCCCTGCAGTTCTCACAGTAGCCTGGCTTAGGGTCTCTCCGTCTCTCCTTCTTTTTCGGTATTATTATGGTTTTTCGATCACCGATCCGCCGCTTAGGAGCGCCACTGTTCTCCAATTGCGTTGATTCCTCTTCCGGGACGTTTACAAGCTTTTTAGGCGGTTGCATATTGCCGAGGCTGTTCTCCAATGGTTTCGTCTTCAGCGGTGCGGATCCATCTACGGCGTGGTGTGATGGAGGCATAGTGCCCGTTGCAAGCCCTCCGTTTCCTTTTTCGAGCACCTTTCTCTTGAGTTCATGAACTTCCTTGCTCAGGCCAGCTTTGGCACCGGGTGCCGCAGCAGTCGATGAAACCATTTGCGAACGAATGGCGGACGTAATATTCGAGGGTTGTACGCCTGATGCGGCAGGTTCACGGCCATGGAAAAATGGCCCCTTCCGTTGCGGAGGCGGAGGCACGAAGCTCTCAGAGCTTTTCCTGGGCGATAGTTGCTTCGTGGACTGAGCATCCTGGAGTTCAAGCTGGGGCTCAAGGGGCGCCTCTTCTGTTTGGCCCAATTCGGGAGTCTTATCCTCGGGCTTTGTACTCTTCCTATGAGTTTCTGGTGCATTTAGTTTCGCATCTGGAATGTCTTGTACAGGGGCAGCATTAGCAACAGCTCTTTCGTCCCTTTCCTGTCTCTCCGTCCTCTCTTTTATACGGGCGCGTTGGCGGTCGATGTCTTTCTGTGTAGGGGGATCCTCAATGAACGGGCACTTTCCTAGGCGTGCACTTCGGAATTGCGGCCATATACCATCCTGCCGCCTTGCAACTTTCGGGTATTCTCGCACCATCACAGGGCGCGTCTTTTCGTCCATGTCATGGACATATATGAAAGGACCCTTAAACATGACCAGCTCCTTCAGGACCGAGAGGGGATTGCGATCCGACGGGCCATTCAGCTCATTCTGAAGCACTTGCGAAAGATCGTTTTCACCCCGAGCCCTAGCATGACCACCAACAACATTGTTGTTTCGCGTCGCGTGGCCATCATGTCCTCCGACATCGCCATCATTGATCGCCGTGATCATGCGCTGCAGTTTCTCAATCGCCCAGATCTTCATTCCCATTTGGCGGGCTCTGTGTAAAACGTCCATGCCCTTCTGCTCCCGCCGTGCGTCGTTTTTCAAGGTCATATGAAGGTGTGTATCGGCGCACTTCTCGAGCAGGGATGGGTTTACTGTCTGCAGCGAACCGTCCGCCGCCGCTTGCTCCGCCGACTCCGCATTGTATTCAGGTGCATTCGTAGGACCGTTCTCCGGAGGAATAGGACGTGACGTGACGACGTGGGTCACTAGACGCGAGAAGAATTTTTCGTCACGCTGTGACGAATGAAGTCAGTAAAGTCACGCAGTTGTATAGGAATTACCTCCACCATGGACCGGTGGGGCATCGTTGACCCTCCGCACGCAGTTCCGATAGGGGATCATGAAGTGCTGGAGATGTCAGCCAGATGCAAACTTACCGCTCCCAATGCAAGCACCTGTCTAGAGCTCTTGCTGCGAACATCTTCCGGGATGCTATCGAAGTAGAAAACAAATTGAGGAAACGCCTTGCGGTAATGCCTCTGCCACTGCCGGATGGAATCGAGAGTCTCCGCGGACGGCCTCTCGTGCCTCGTGCCTTTCATTTGTGCCTGTCGTTCTTT